CGGCCCGCGGACAAACCGCTTGCGGGAACGCCAGATGCTCGAGCCCCGAACGGGGGGCGGATTTGCTGGGGGTTCGTCCCCACCCGAAAGCAGTGGCCGCGTTCCCACAAGGCTCGAGGCAGCCCCGCGGGCACCTCCCTCCCTCCCTTCCCCGGTTTACAGCACGCTGAACAAAACGCATCCCCCTGGGGTCAAGGACGAGGGAGTAGGACGCTATTGGCCCATTCCAGTGGCTGAGTCCAAGTTTCCAGAAGTAACAGATTTTTGTATGAACATACTGCATCATTTAAGCAGGCCCCCTGGCTGGAACTCATGATTCACACAAGGTTTAGTTCATAGCGACTTGGCTTGCTTGGTTTTAATTCCCTGCAGTTTGCAGGTTGAAGATAATAGCAATAATGATAACTTTTTTTTTTTTTAAGCTACTGCTCTACTGCAATATTATTACTCAGAAAAACCAGCCTTTAAATTTCCCATGCTGACGTGACACAATCAGGGTAACCAGACAACATGACGCATCAAGAACCAGGGTGAGTCAGCCCGGGATATTGTATAATGCGTTTGTTTTCCTGTAGTTACAGCAATGTGCAAACAATAGGCCTGGAGGGGAAGCCCTAAGTGCCAGAGATCAAAAGGACCCACTGAAGGGAAACATCTTCCCACACGCACTCGGAGCGCTTGGACCCAAAAAGGCCTTGTGTCCGATGCTCTCGGGAGACGCTCGCTGCGATAACAGATTGGCGCGCTCCGCTGCGGCCCGCTGCCGGTGGCCAGGGATGGGAGGCAAGGCTCGACGGGGGCTGCAGGCAGAGCGCTCACCGCTCCTGAGGTTATGGTGCCTGCTCCAACCAAGGGAAACCTCCCATTCTTTTATGAAGAACAGCCTCCCTTTTTAAATGAAAGGCCCTGCTCCTGAAAGATGTTTGGAAAACAGCATTAAATCACTAGCTAGTGGACAGCGATCCCTTTAGATATCGTTAGTGGACAAGTCATAGTAAATAAGGCAGAGAAATGCTATTCTGCTTAGCCTTAAACAAAATTTCTTCTGAGAGCTCCTGTCCAATGAGTTGTTATTATGAGTTAGTATTAATTAAGTCTAACTAATATGACTGTTTGGGGGTTTAGATGGAATAAAGGTCTAAGCACAAAGAGAAAACATTTCCAGTGCACATCAACAGGTTTTATCCATCCTGCCTATCCTGGCTATTATACCATGTTTTCCTAAAATCTCACCTGCTAGTGCCTTGTCTATGAGCTGTGCCCCTATTTAGAGCATTTCTGAAGCAATGTGAACAACAGCTCTACATTTGGGAGGCAGAAAAGCACTTTGGCTTGATGGCACTGGGTTCAGTTCCTTCGCTGGAGAACTTCAGAACTTCCGACAAACTCTACTGAATCTCCCGCCAGGCTGAGAAATAGGGAAAAGAACCTTATCCTCATTTTACAGAAAATTACATTGGGACATGGAAATGTTAACGTCTAGATTAGAATTACATAAATGACGAAATCTGGATCCAGACCACAAGTACGTTTTGTTGAGACCACATCAAAATGGCTCAGTGTTCAAAGCACTTACATCAGTGGGAGCGTCAAAGCTTTTAGCACTGATAAAACTCGGGGCCTTCAGCTCAGCTTTCAGAAGCATCTGGCTGTCAATGCAGGCCTAATCTGAGGGCAGCAGGTTGGCACTTCTCAAACACTAATCGCTTCAGCGGCCTCTGATGCTGGACACCAGGAAAGAGAGACACTTCCCACTGGAAAGCACTCCCGAAAATGTGTCGGAAGGTCATATAATTGCTAAGTGGTCTACAAAATTTCCTTAGTAAACTCTGTGTTTTCTGGATTCCAGGTCGAATAACAAGTACCGCAAAGTGAGGGCAGCTTGATGGAAGGGTTGCGTGAGAGATTGTCTGTCTGGAAAGTGGCTAGAGCTCCGGAGATGCAACTCCAGAAGGGCTGTGCGTGGCCTGTGGCGCTGCATGTGTGGAGAAAGAAAGGGACTCACAGGTGATTAGTGGATGAGAAAAAGAGAAGACTGGGAAAAGTGGAGATATAAGCAGAGACAAAATATGAGAAAGAAAGGGAAAAATGCCATGAAGTGAAAGAGAAAGTGGGCAAGGGAGCTGTGATTAGAGACAAAGATGAGAAAACGAAGTGCAATGATAAAAGTATGACAAAAGCAAGGGATGTAAGAAAAGAAGTGTGTAAAGGTTAGAAATCCTATTCTGTTCACATGTGGGTACATTCCTTTGAAGTATTCATGCAGAACCCCATTCCTGTACTCTGCCAAGAAACTCGGGCAGTTCAGTGAGCTGTTTTTGAAAGCAGCTAGCTAGGCAGGTGATTCTCCTGGGCATCCATAAACAAGTGCCGTTTCCTGGACACAAGCAGGGTTGCAGCCCCAGTAATTGTAAGATAAGAGACAGGAGCAGCAATCATGAAACTTCATGAAAAGAGCAGGTATGGGGTCTTTTGCTTTTTTGTTTTTTTGTTTTGTTTTTTGCCTTTAGGATACACTTTGGTCATGTCTTTCTAGTTTATCTCATCCGTCATAAATGCTAAAAGCATATTGGACAATTAAAAGTGCAGTATCTCACCTAATCGCCCACCTTAATGAATTAGGGCATGAAGAACATAGACTAGCAAGAGAGACTCAGTGCAAAAATGAGAGTTGGCAATCCAGCAGCAGCAAGACAGAACAGTAGATGAAGCTCTACAACTCTAAACTCTAATGCTGTAAAGCCTATACTGATATAGGGTAGCCTTTTACCAAAAAGCACCTGCTTTTGCTTGTTTTCTTCACTTGCCTTTCCCATTCCCCTCTTCAGCCCTGTTCACTTCCAGCTGCTGTTTGACGAGTGGTAGTAAACACTAATGAGCATTTCCAAACAGAATAAAAATGAATGGGAAGGGCAATAGGCAGCAGGAGAGAAGATGAATCTCTCAGCAACTTTCATTACTTTGCAAGATGAGTGGCTTCCTGTAACACGCTGACTTTCCATGTTGCTAGCATACTTGGTGCCCTGATGACTTCCAAAGCTGGTGCCAATGGGTACAGCTGTCCACTGCATGTGCTGGGGGCATCTGCTCAGCCCAAAAAGCACACTGTGTCTGTCCGAGTACTGCAGCATGGCAACTGTCTAATCTCTACTTGATAGTTTGAGGAATTATGGATAT